GATAGAATCAAGGATGTTTCCAGCTTCTACTTGAGACTGACTGCATTGATAGATGGTGAAAGGCAAAAGTGGAATTTCTGGCTTTTGATGTCCCTCCTCTAAGAGCCTGATCAGTTTTCTTTCTCCTGCCTCAAGTTTAGGCCTAATTGCTTAATAATGAACTCTGAGTCTTGTGGTTCTTAATATGAATTCTTAAGTGTGTGCCTGCCTTTGGGCCCTGGCTATCTTATAATTCCCACAGACCGGGTTGGCCTTGAACTCATGGAGATCTTCCTGCCTCTGCCTCCTGAGTGCTGGATTAAAGGTGTATATCACCATGGCCTGGTGAAAAGAAGTTTTTTAACATGTGCATTGAATATGTACATATGGGAGCAGCCACTATGTCTGCCCCCAAAGGAGGTCATGTCACTGGAGATGTAGATCCTTCATTTTTTGTAGGCCTGAAACCATACAGGGTTCAGTGCTGAAACAAAAGTTAAAGGGAAAGTTTATTTGGAAAAGTATAGTGAGCCAGTGAATAGGCAGAACAGTGACAAAAAAGATGTATATTTCACTTAGCATGTATTTGGCATGCTCCCACCCAACAAATGAAAACAGTTTAAAAAAGAAAAAAGAAAACTTTGCTACATAGACTCTATCCAGGCCTTCTCCATCACAAGAGTTCAGAGTCCTTTTCTTGGCACAGGAGAGAGACGCCTGTCCTGGCTGGTTCTGTGTGTCAGCTTGACACAAGTTAGAGTCATCAGAGAGGAAGGAGCCTTGTAGGGGACAGTGTAAGCTGCTAGAAGCTGCTACAGATGTGCCTGACCACGCCTGTCAAAATAAAATACTATTTGGCTAATGAAGCAACAAGTTAGGCGGTACTAAGAGTCAAGGAGAATTCTGGGAAATACAGTAAAGAATGATGATACGCAGGAAATGACGTGGCAGGGAGACTCATATATAAACAAGGGCAAGAAGGAAATGGGCCCCTTTTCTCTTCCTCCAAAGTCACCATATGATCCCGGGATAAAGATGCCAATGAAAAGCATCCTAAATAAGATAAGTCTTATAAAATATATAGATTTATGATAATTAAAACTGAGCTAACAGATGAGAAATCCTAATCATTGGCCAAGCAGCATTTATACCTAATAAAAGTTTCTATGTATTATTTGGGGCCCTAACACAGCTAGCTGAACTCAAGCGGGTGGTGGAAAGATTTATCGTAACAGAGCCTCACTGAGGAAATGCCTCCATGAGATCCAGCAATAAGGTATTTTCTCAATTAGGGATCAATGCGGGAGGGCCCAGCCAATGGTGGGTGGTGCCATCCAGGACTGGTGGTCCTGAGTTCTATAAGAAAGCAGATGAGAAAGCCAGGGGAAACAAGCCAGTAAGCAGCACCCCTCCAGGTTCCAGCCATGTTTGAGTTTCTGTCTGACTTCCTCCGATGATGGAGTACCATGTGGAAGTGTAAGCCAAATAAACCCTTTCCTTCCCAACTTGTTTTTGGTCATGGTGTTTCATCCCAGCAATAGAAACCCTAAGACAACACCTTCATAAGTGGAGCTTTTCTTCATATGTGACACTCGGCTGAGTTTTATGGTGCATGTCTGTAATCCCAGCATTTGAAGGCAGAGGCTGGATAGGTGAGTTCAAGACCAGCTTGGGTTGCAGAAAGACCCTGTCCTAGAAAAAAAGAAAAGAGGGTTTAGTTTATTTTAAAAGCTGTAAGCTCTACTTCTGGAGATTCAAGACCAGATTCAAAGGCCTTTCGGAGAGTGGCATGCTCTGTTACACTTCAGGGGAAACAGCTGTCCTCCATCATGGCGTTCTTATCCTTCCCTCCATCTCTCATTTCCCGCCCCTGCCCATTCCCTTCCTTTCCCTGCTCCTTGCCTTAACCCCTTCTCTACTCCTTCCTCATCCCTGCTATGTCTCCCATAATAGTTTTACACTTCTGGACTCAAGGCATCTTCCTGCCTCAACTTTCTGAGGATTACCTGAGATTATAGGTACATGCCAGTGTTGACATAACTGCACTTTAAGGAAATAAGAAAATGGTTTATTCTGATCCAAGTTATGCACCGGTTTAGTTATAATCCAAGAAAACAAAGTAATGAATCATGAAATACATGGTGGGAGTGTCATCGGATGGGTGGACTTCAGAAAGGACTGGGAAATCACCAGGGTTTAAATGCTGTCTTTATTACTTTCTTAGTTTCATAGGTGGTGTGGGCTGGTGGCACGTCCAGCTTGCTAATACATTCCAAACATTTTATGAAAGAGTCTGGAGGTAGGTAGGTCAGAGCAAGTGCTTTGTAGTAAATGACTATTAAAAAGGGCTAAAGAGAGCCCATGATAATTTTACCTCTACAAGTATAATAATATTTTCATTATCAATCAATTTTTGACAATATCATGTATGTATATAATACATTCTGGCTACTTTCTCCTTGCCCTCTCTTATTTTCCTCCCACCTGGTCAACCTCCTTTTCTCTACAAGCCACCTTCACACATGCATGTCTTTCGTTTGTGACCTACTGATTTTAATCAGTGTCCTCCCTGTAACTGCTTTCCTTAGGGTTTCTATTTCTGTGATGAAATATCATAACCAAAAGCAACTTGGAGAGGAAAGGGTTTGTTTATCTTGTCTTCTATATCACTGTTCATCATCAAAGGCAGTCGGGGCAGGAACTCAAGCAGGGCAGGAAACTAGAGCTGATGCAGAAGCCATGGAGGGGTTCTGTTTACTGGCTTGCTCCTCATGGCTTGCTCAACCTGATTTCTTATAGAACCCAGGACCACCAGCCCATGGGTGTCCCTACCCACAGTGTCCCTCTCTGGTCAATCACAAATTGAGAAAATGCCCTTACAGGTATGCTTGCCTGCAGCAGGATCTGATGGAGGCATTTTCTTAGTGGTGGTTCCTTCCTCTCTGATTTCCTGAAGATAGCATTTAGTAGTCCTTCTCCCTGTCATCTGGTTCTTAAATTCTTTCTGCTCTCTCTTCCTTGATGTTCCTTGAGTCTTACAGGGAGTGGTGTAAATGCCATTTTAAGGGTCAAGCACTCAGTGCTTACTAATTCTCAGTGCCACCAGCAGCACTCATTGTAAATTTCAGTTTTCTTTATATCTGACTAAACTTTCATTGTTGTATGAACCACCTTTTATCCTTATATTACATATTCATCTGTCAATAGACATCTAGACTGATCTCACTTTCTAGCATTGTGAATAGAGTGCAGACAGACACGAATGATCAAGTGTGTCTCCACAGTCATGGTGCTCCACTTAGACAAGGTCAGTTTCCAGGCTCTTTAGTAAGGAAACAATGTTCTGGTTAGTTTTCTGTCAATTTGACACAAGGGAGAGTAATTAGGAAAGAGCAAAGCTCAACTGAGGAAAACTCTCAGCAGACTGGCCTGTGGGGAAGCCTGGGATGCCTTTTCTTGATTGATGATTTATGTGGGAGGGCCCAGATCATTTTAGGTGGTGCCATTCTTGGGCTAGTAGTCCTGGGTACTATAAGAAATCAGGTTGAGCAAATGGAGACCAAGCTAGTAATCAGAACTCTCCCATGTCTTCTTTGGTAGTTGCTGCTTCCAAGTTCTTGACTTGGGTTTCTGATCCTCAGCATTGTAGTATGACATGAAAGTTGTTAAGCTGAAATGAGCCATTTCTTCCCCAGGTTGTTTATGGTCATGGTTCAATTGTAGAAGCAGCAACCCCAACTAAGACACAGAGCTTCTTCAGAGAGCTTCAGGTCACACCATTGTATCTTGCTGGCAGCAGCATAGTCTTGATGCTACTTTCTGTTGAGAAATTGTCATTGATGGTACCCATGGACCTTCCCTGGGGGAGGACTGGGTTCCTTGAAAGTTCTTAAAATGGTAGATAGCCAGGAACTGGGGTGTAGTTAGTATCTGACTGTGGTGCTCTGGTTTCAATTCTGTGATTTTAAGGGGAGGGGAAGCTTCTAGTTTCAGGGTTTGTTGGCAATTTTTTTCTTAACATAGTGACCAACTCCTTAAAAACAACCAGGAAACTACAGATGCTCATTTGTAACTGTCTGCACTTAGAATGTCCTTTTCTTTGAGAGAGAGGTCTCCTTCAGCAGCTCAGGCTGACATGACTTGGTGACAGTCCTGTCTCATCCTCTAAGTGCTGGGATTATAGGTATTTCCAACCACAGCAAGATTTAGATGGTCTTAATGATCAAATTGGCTATTTCTTTTGCTTTGAACTACTTTAACATCACCTGTGATATTTGCATTTTGAGAGATACTTCGTTATGGAAAAGTTGCTTTCTAAGTCCCTTCTCTTTCCAACAGCTCTTTCTATCTTTATACTCCTGCCTGGTCTCAACTCTGCAACTTGTAGTTATGTCTGTGCCTGTGAAGAACACATTGCCCTATTCACTTGTTGAAGGAAGTGTGGATGGTTTCTCCATTAGAATATAAGGGTTGGCAATGTAGCTGAGTGGTGGGACACTTGCTCAGTATATGTACAAGAACCTGGGTTCAATTCCTAGTTTAAAAAATTAGGACACCATATTTGAAGGGGCTGGGTATTTTGATAGTGTGGACAAGAAAATGAATTGTTTTAAAGTTGTCACTTGTTTACTCTCCTAATATATTGTTTATAACTGAAGGGATGTAACTACATTTATTTTACAACTGAATGTACCTACATTTATTTTACAACTGAAATTAAATGATCTTGTTGTCATTTTAATAATTTCACCTTACTCAGGTATGCCTAATAGAAATATATAACAAAATGCTTTCTACAGTATTATTTCTCTAATGGTCTAATCTAGCTGAGATGAATTTTTTTTTTTAAAAACTGTGCTGGCTTTCTTTCTGATCAGTATATTAATTGTTCTTGTTTTTTACTACATTGTCACTTTTAATTTCATCAAAATTTAATTAAAGCTAACATAGAGGATGAGAAGAAATTAATATAAAAGAGTATAAACAGATTTAAAGTTGTCAATTATTTTTTTTCTCCATAGGAACATTGGGTAATGTAGAACATGGGAACCAATATCAGATAAAATTAATGTATGAGCACCATCTTCAGAGGACAGCCTGCAATATGACTTATGGACCCTTTGGTGGTATAAAAGGTAATTTGCTTTGAATCATGCATATGGTATTCCAAGTGGTAGATTTATACCGTTTGAACATATTACAATGGAATATTATGTGGTTTGAATCTTAAAGAATTAAGTATTTTAGTGAAAGTTTTATATTCAGATACTTAAAATAATTAAAAAGTATATTTTTAGCAATGGCTATCTTTGATATTCACATATTTGTATTATCTGGTCTTTGATGTTCTTTCTAAGTAGCTGTGGTGGTCTGAATAAGAATGGCACCCATAGACTCCTATGTTTGAGTGCTTGGTTCATACTTGGTGGAACTGTTTGGGAAGGATTAGGAGGTGTGACCTCATGGGAAAAGATGTGTTGCTTGTGGATGTGCTTTGAGATTTCAAAAGCCCATGCTATTTCCAGTTAGCTCTCTCTCTGCCTTTTGCTTGTAGCTCAGATGTGAGCTCTCAGCTCCAGTGCCACACCTGCCTGTCTAGTGCTATGCTCCCCTCCATGATGGTCATGGACTTTCCCTCTGAAACTGCAAGCCCCCAGTTAAATGCTTTATTTTATAAGTTTCCTTGGTCATGGTGTTTCCATGGCAATAGAAAAGTATGATAATACCTTTTCTACAGAGTTTGCCTTATAAGTTGATTAAAAGTGAGTTCTTTTGTGGTAGAGCTAGGTGCCTGCCACTTTCAGTGGTGTGAAGTGTTGATCTTAGTAATAGTCCCTGCTGTACCTTCTAAAGGAGAGTGAGGCTAAAAACCTGTCTACCCAGCCTCTCATGTTGAGAATGCCCATGGATTCTTTCTGCACAAGAGAGCTTGGAAAGGAGAACATACGAAGATTTAAATGTAGGTTTGGTACTGCTCATCAAGTCATGATCTCTGGCATGAAGGACAGTGATCTGAGAGGAGAGGCACCTCTCCCAAATTCCACCTTTTCTGCCACCTCTTCACAGTACAAAACAAACAACAGATTCTTAAGTCTCTTGAGTAAGTGGGTATTGTTTTCATCCAGGCTACACATATCATATCCTCCAGATGCATGCTTGCTTGCTTTATTGTATGTATGTATGTATGTATGTATGTATGTATGTAGTATTTTTGAGGTCTGTTCTCACACTGCAGTCCAGGTTGATCTGGATCTCACTGTGTGGGACAGGCTTGCCTTGAACTCATAGTGGTCCTCTTCTACACAAATGTCCATGTTCTAGGATCATGGCAGTCTTCCTCCGTGTGTCTTCTAATTTCTAGATTACTTGTAATGCCATGCAAATAGTTGTTATGTTGTGCTGATAATTACCAGAAAAATAGTAGTGCATGTTCAGTACAGGAGCACTTCTTTCCTGGATGTCTTCTCTACAGAAGGTTGGTTCTTCTGGCTTAGATAGCTGGTTCCTTCCCCTTTGTCCACTTCTCTTTCTAAGCAATAAAAAGGCTTCCTGCAGTATGTCCATCCAGATCCAGGACCTCAGATTCACCAGGGTGCTGAACAAAAGGGTTCTGATTTGTAGCTTATGTTCTTTCACTGCATCATGACCTGGATGAAGAGGAGCTGGCGGGGCTGGGTTGTGATGGCAACATGTGATTTCATGGTCGTGTTTGCATGCATAGACACGTATCACTAAAAGAACATGTGATCAGGAACTTTAGCTTTGTTTCTTTTTAATTCATTTTTATTTTTTGTGTATGAGTGTGTGTATGTGTGTTTATATGCACTGTATGCATGTAGGTGCTTGGGGATGCCAGAGGGTGTCAGATTCCCTAGAACTGGACACTTGTGAGCTGCCATATGGGCTGGTAACTGAATATTGGTCCTTTGTAAAAGCAACAAATGTTGATGGAGAGATGGCTCCTTGGTTAAGAGCCCTTGCTGCTCTTGCAAAGGACCCAGGTTTGGTTCACATGGTGGCTCACAACCATTTGTAACTGCAGTTCCAGGGGATCTGAAGCCCTTTTCTGGCCTCCACTAGCACAAGGCATAAAAGGGTACACATACATTGCAGGCAAAACACTTAACACATAAAAAATAAATCTCTAGGATCAAAGACCTCAACATAAATCCAGCCACACTGAACCTCCTAGAAGAGAAAGTGGGAGATTGAACGAATTGGTTCAGGAGACCACTTCCTGAACATAACACCAGTAGCACAGACATTGAGATCTACAATTAATTATTGGGACATCCTGAAACTGAGAAGCTTCTGTAAGGCAAAGGACACAGTCAGTAAGACAAAACGATAACCCACAGAATGGGAAAAGATCTTCTCCAACCCCACATCTGACAGAGGGCTAATATCTAAAATATACAATGAACTTAAGAAGGTAGCCACCAAAACACCAAACAATGAAATTAAAAAGTGGGATGCAGAACTAAGTGGCTGAAAGACACTTAAGAAGTGCTCAACATCCTTAGCCATCAGGGAAATGCAAATCAGAACAACTCTGAGATACCATCTTACACCGGCCAGAATGGCTAAAATCAAAAACACCAATGACAGTCTATGCTAGAGAGGATGTGGAGAAAAAGGAACACTCTTCCATTGCTGGTGGGAATGCAAACTTGTAAGACCTCTTTGGAAATCAGTATGGCAGTTTCTCAGGAAAATGGGAATCAGTCTACCTCAAGATCCAGAAATTCCTCTCTTGGGCATATACCCAAAGAATGCACATTCATAGAACAAGGACATATGTTCAACGATGTTCATAGCAGCACTATTTGTAATAGCCAGTTTCTAGAAACTGGAAGCAGCCTAGATGCCCCTCAACTGAAGAATATAGAGAAAATGTGGTACATTTACACAATGGAGTACTACTCAGGGAAAAAGGCAATGGAATCTTGAAATTCGCAGGGGGGAGAAGGAAGAAGCCTGATATACTATTGTAAAACTCTACCATCAACTTTCATGATAAAGCCTCAATTTAAAATATAACAGAATGTACCAGCCTACAATCCTCATCGTCAAAGGAACTAGGAAACAAGAAGGACTCTAAGAGAAGAATGCATGGACCCCGGAGAAGGGGAAGGAGGCAGGATCTCCTGAGCTAATTAGGAGCATGAGGGTAGGGGAGAGGGAGACGCCAGAATGAGAGGAGGAGAAGAGAAGAGGAGAGGAGGAAATGGAGGAGCAGAAATATTGAATTGGGGGAAGAATAGAGGAGAGCAGGATGAGAGATACCATAACAGAGGGAGCCATTATAGGTTTGAGGAGAGATCTGGCACTAGGGAGATTTCCAGAGATCTACAAGGATGACACCAACTGACAATCTAGGCACTGACAGCTAAACACTGAACTGAACTCTGGAACCCAGTTGCAGAGAGGGAGGAGTGAAGAGCAAAGAGGTCAGGACCAGGCTGGTGAAACCCACAGAAACAGCTGACCTGAACAAGGGGGAGTGCATGGACCCCAGACTGATGTCTGGGAGGCCATCACGGGACTGATCCAGACCCCTGAATGTGGATGTCAATGAGGAGGCCTCGGCACTCTATGGTGCCCCTGGTGGTGGATCAGTATTTATCCCTGGCATAAGAAGGGACTTTGGGAGCCCATCCCACATGGAGGGATGCTCTCTCAGCCTGGACACATGGGGGAGGGCCTAGGCCCTGCCCAGGATGATATGACAGACTCTGGGGAACCCCCATGGAGGGTCTCACCCTCCCTGGGGAACAGAGGAGGGATGAAGAAGGGGTGGAGGGTAGTGGGTAGTTAGGGGGAGGGGAGAGAGAGGGAGAGGGAGAAGGGATTGACATGTGAAGCAGCAGCCTTGTTTCTAATTTGAACTAATAAAAAATAATATCTTGGGGAAAAATTAAAAAAAATTAATCTTTAAACCAACCCAACACCAAAGCAACACATGTTCTTTACCAATGAGCTATCTCCTCAGCTCAGTCTTGATTATGTTTGTTCATGATGCAAGTAGAGTTTGCAGAACTAAAGAAATAAGAACCCAAACACTTGGCAGGTTGTAGAATTACTTCCCCAAATAGCAGGAACATTGGGATTGTTTGAGGAGGACACAGCTAAATGGAGACAGGAGAGGAAGACTCAGATTTGTGTTGGAGGTGAACTGTCAATGAAATGCCCCCTCTCACCTGTATCTTTTCAAATTGATGGCCATGCTTTTAAAAATATCTGACATCTTTGGGAGACCTTATCACCCTTGCCTGCTTGACTGTTTTTAATTTGTTTGTTCTCACTTAAACACCAAAGCGTGTTGCTAAGTTCTATGGATCTAGTTGGGTGTGGTGGCTCATGCCTTTACTCTTGGTACTTAGGAAGCTGAGGCAGGAGGATTGCTGTGAATTCAAGACTAGCCTAGGTTAGATAGCTTCGGATAAGGGTATGGCCCTGCTCAAAACAAACAATGAAACAAAATTACTGTACATCTGGAGTTATGATATGACAAGAAAGTGCTTTGGCCCTTTAAAGTGGTTGCTTTCGTAGCATTCCTGTAGTTCAGGGTATGTGCCACATGCTGTATAGTTGAATTGAACTTTTTATTTATTATTATTTAACCTTAGCTAAAATCAGCACATCCTTTGCTTCTGTGTCACACTGTTGGTAGATTTCACAGTGTACTTCCAGAGTGATGTGCTGGGATTCAGTATTTTCTCTTCTGAAATGCAGGCCCACGGGACTGGGTGTGTGGCTCACTGATAGTGCATGCTTAGCAGTAAGTGTGCCGCTCTCTTTTGTTTGTTTGTTTGTTTGTTTTGGAGATAAGGTCTCATTTAGACCAGGCTGGAAGTTGCAGTTGTAGTTGGGGCTGGCTCAGGACCCTCCTGGTGCATTCTGGAACCACTCAAGAGACAGTCATTCTGATGACTTGAAAGTTAAAGTTAAGCAGACTATGCAAAGACAATTGAGGGTTTTAGAAAAAGGGGTCAAGAGAAAATAAAACCTGGTGCTATTTTAGACCAGGTGAGAAGACGCTGGGGCTGTGCACCACAATGAGCTACCACTAGATGGCAGGCCCCGACAATTTTGTATGTGTTTGGGCTGCCTCTGTCCAAGAGGAGGTGTTCAG